AAAGAAAGAAAGAAAGAAAGAAAGAAAGAAAGAAAAAGAAAGAAAGAAAGAAAAAGAAAAAAAGAAAGCTACTGTGTCTGATGCTGCAGTGGGAGGAGATATTGGTGTGGAACCATGGCTCAGTAAAAATTCTTTACCACAGCTAGTAAAAAATGTATCTTTTTTAAATGTGTAGGTTTTCAGCTGGGCATTGTGGCACAGGCCTTTAATCCCAGCACTCAGAAGACAGAGGCAGGCAGATCTCTGTGAGTTCAAGGCCAGACTGGTATACATATTGAGTTCCAAGTCAGTTGGGGCTACAAGGAGACCCTATTTCAAAAAGACCAAAAATTAAAATAAAATAAGGTGGAAAGTGATTGAGAAAGACACCTAACACTGACCTCTGGCGTATACGTAGGCATACCTGCAGGTGCACATGCACACAACCACACAAACACAGACCCCCTGCCCTGACATACATACACAGTGCTCCTCTGGGGGACTCTCATGCACAGCAAAGTCCAAGAACCAGTGCCTACCTAGCCTTACTGTCTCTCTATATTTCCTCTGAAATTCTTGCTTTCTTAATCAATTGATTTGAATGCCTGTCCCAGACTCTGTCTCTAGGAGGGTCCAACAACCTATGATGCTAGCCATTCAATATTTTTCCTGCTGTGATCTTTCTTCTAAAGGATCCATCCCATAGCAACACAAGCAGACATACAGTGGTAGGTGGTTGCTCTTTGAATAAGCAAACTGACTGGATCAAGGACGGATGCTCAACTCACAGGGCCTGAGATCTCAGGAAAAGGGTGCCAGATGGTGATGAATGTTTTACCTGGTGCAGAATCAAGCCAAGTTCAAACAGAGACACAGAAATGGGAGAGGACGCTGAGATGTATACAGAGTAGCAACAGATGCTGAGGTTCAATTTCAGTTCTCAGGAGTACCATTTTGTTTCTGAATTTATTTAAAGATTTATTTTATTTTCCTTTACATGGATGTGAATGTGTGTGTGTGTGTGTGTGTGTGTGTGTGTGTGTGAGAGAGAGAGAGAGAGAGAGAGAGAGAGAGAGAGAGGGTGTGTGGGCGAGAGAGAGAGAGAGAGAGAGAGAGAGAGAGAGAGAGAGAATGTGTGGGTGCCCATGGAGTCCAGAAGACTCCTCTGGAGCTGCAGTTAGAGGCAGCTATAAGCCACCCAACATGGGTGCTGGAAGCCAAGTGTCTTCTAGGAGATCAGAAAGCTCTTTTAACCACTGAGACATCTTTCTAGCCCTCATATTTCCTTTGTATAAAAGTCCCCATTTCCTTGCACTAACTTGGATGTGGTTGAGTTTTGCAACAAGCTGAGCCTTGACAAAACAGGCAAGGGGAAAGGATGCTTATAGGCAAAGACTTAAGAACAAATATAGGCATCCCATGTGACCTTCCACCACATCATCAATGCTTGGAACCTATTTCCTATAGCTGGATGTCAAGCAAGCTTCCTCTGTATGAGGCTTCTCCATGACCACTTGAGTCCTAAGGTTTTTCACATGCCAATGGCTGTGAAGTACTTTGAGCGACAAGTGGAAAATAAATAGAACAAGAAAATAGCAAGCAAACATGATCCACTGAGTAAATTCAGAAGCTTTGTGGGATCTCACCCACATTTCCATACCTTTACAGCTTGGCTGGGCAGACCAATTTCCTGCCCTGGTGCATTCAACTTCTTCCGGGCCATCCAGTGTATATGTATCATGGCAACCAAACGTGGCTTTATCCTTGTAAAGAAGCACCTGCTTTGCTGGATAGTTCACAAACCCGTTGTCTGGTCTTGAGGGGAATGGGCATTTTACTTCTAAAAGAGTTTATTCAATAAGACATATTCACAATTAATAGAGCTGTCTGACAGTTGCTGATTGGTTACATTCGTCTCTCCATTGCATCATTGAATCACTGGGTATTCCTGTGAGTGAAATGCAATTTCTGGGTACCTGATACTTAATTCTGTCCCCACTCTCTTACACTTATCAGACCCTAAATATTTAACAACAGAAAAAAAAAAAACACCTTGAAAGTAAATAATGACACTCTGCTAGTTCTTTGGGCTTGCAGTAATCATTCTAAAGTGTTATTTATCAAAAGCCTCCAGGGTCTAAAAAGTGGGCATGAAAGATAAGGATAAAGTCTTCCTTTTGATCAATAAACCATGAAATTAAAAGGCAAAGATTGGGGCTGAAGAGATGGCTCATAGGTTAAGAGTACTTGCTGCTCTTGCAGAGGACCCAGGTTCAGTTCCCAGTGCCCACATGTTGACTCACAACCATCTGTAAGTCCAGTTCCAGGGAATCCAATGCCTTCTTCTGGCCTTCATGGGCACTAGGAATGTACATGGTACACATGCACATATGCAGGCAAACACCCACACACACAAAATAAAAATAAATAAGTCTGTATTTTTAAAAGCAGACTGTGCCCATGAACACTTAGCTAACATTATTGGGTTTTGAAATGTCTCTTTATTTCCATTGTCTTTAGGCTATGCAGAAAGGCAATTTTCCTATTGCTGTGATAAGACAGCCTAACAACTTAAGGAATAAAGGGCTTATTCTGACTCACAACTCCAGAGTACAGTCTATCATGATGGGGAAATCATGGTGGCAGGAGCTGGAAGCCACTGGTCCTGTGGCATTCACAATCAGGAAGCAGAGAGCAGTAATGCTCATTTTCAGTTCACTCTCTCCTTTTCCTGACTTTTGGGACCTAAACCCAGGGAATGGTACCTTTTAGTGTGGGTCTTCTCACCACAATTAACCTCATCAACATAATCCTTCATGGACGCACCCAGAGGCTAAACAGCCCCTCACAGGTGTGGCCTGGCAGCTTGTCTTCTAAGGGATTCCAGATCCTGTCAAGCTGACAACTGAGATTAACTATCATAGGCAACATAAACTATGTCCAAGAAAAATAGTGCTGCTTCCTGGCCTCATGAAAATCAACAAGAAAATCCCAAATTCATACTCCTAGCTCCTCCAGGACACAAAGCAAGGGGGAGCAAGAACACAATATCTTTGACAATCATCTTGGGGGAAGGGAGTAATGTTTTTGAGGTAGCTAAAAGTGCAGGTGACAGAGTCAGACTATTTGGTTCCATTTTGGTTCATCCACTCATTGAGGGAAAAAGAACTGAAGTTCAGTAATATTAAAGACATAGTTGATAGACACTCCCCTCTATAGATGAAATACAGGTAATGAAGATGGAAAGATAATTAGGAAGTCCCTAGCTTTCAGCCACTAATATTAATAACTGATAGATTGAGGATCATCACTGGATTGTAAAATGACTGCTAGAAAATGATTATTCACACATTCTCAAGTACCATCCACATCTTGCTTACTTTCAAATAAAAAAAGTTGACCTTACCAAAACACAATCTAGCACACTCCCCTAGGTAAAGGGATCCTACTAAACATGAACAATAATGGACACTAGGTACCACCTGACACATTGGAATGTACTTTTTCTGGGACAGGGTCTTTCTATGTAGTTCAAGCTGGGCTGGAACTCATTGTGTAATCCAGGGAGGCCTCATGCTTAGGTTCCTTTGCCTCTGCCTCCTACGTGCTGGGATCACAGATGTGCACCACCACAGCCAGCAAAAATATTTAATTTGGAGGTATTCGTGAGTTAACAACCAAGCAAATTCAGATTATGGAACATTCTATAATAAAATTGCCTATGCTCTTCAGTGGAAGATAAAAAAAGAAACACTAGATTATTCTTTTTGAGTGATGGGAGCTTGGATTTTTGAGACAGGGTCTACCTGTAGCCCCAGCTGGCCTGGAACTTTTTATGTAGACAAGACTGGCCTTGCTCTCATGGAGATCCCCTGATTCTGTCCCCCAAATACTGGGATTAAAGGTGTGCACCACCATGCCTGGCAGAATCACTCTTAATTAGATCGACAAGACACGCCACTTAAACAAAAGGGACCATACTCCACTCACCTAAAATAAAGCACAAATATAAAAGATATATTTCTGGATCAACTAGAAAAATTTCATCTAACTTAAAGATTTGCATGATATTATTGCTGATTGTATTATTATAATTATTTAAATTATTGTTAATAATTTAAAATATGTTAAATGGATTAAATCCAGTAATAACATATTTAGGGTTAAAAAAAGGATCTCCCGGTGAAAAAATGAATATAGGGCCAAATGTAACAGCTGATATATTTAAGCAAAAAGTTGAATAAAAGGGTAAAGAATTTGGAAAAATTAATTGAGGAGACCCAATGTAGCAGGAAATAAGTGTATAAGTGTCTGTCCCAGAATGGTACTAGGTATTGCAGTTCTTGGTAGTTTTCTCATGTTAAAGATCACTTTTATTTTATACCTTGTTTTTTTTGGGGGGGGGTCTTTTTGAGACAGGGTCTTCCTATAGCCCCAGCTGTCCTGGAACTCACTATGTAGACCAGGCTGGCCTTGAACTCACAGAAATCCTCCTGCCTCTGCCTCCCAAGTGCTGGGATTAAAGGCATGCGCCACCACACCTGGCATGTATTTTACATCTTTTCTAGAGCTCTCTGATAGCAACCAATACAGAAATGAATAGTCTTTAAGATAATGCCTTGCTATAAGATAAACTCTGTAATTTGTCTATTTGCTATGCAATTGATACATTTAGAGATAATGTGCAGGTTAATGTCAATTGTCAACTTGGTGAAATCTAGAGTCTTCTGAGAGATGGGCCTCTGGGCATGCATGTTGATTAGGTTATTTTGATTAGGTTAATTGAAGTGGGAAGTTCTGCCACTATGGGTGGCATCATTTCCTGGGCTGGGATCCTAGACACAAGTATTCACTGCCTTCTTCTTCCTGACTGAGGATGCAATATGACCTGTCCCTTCACATTCTTGCTGTCTAGACTTCCCTGCTATCAGTTATGGGCCAAAATAAATGCTCTTTTCTTTAAGTTGTTTTTGTCAGGATATCTTTCCACAGCAACAGAAAAGCAGCTAAGATAGTAATGACTGATTAAGTCAAAGAACTTCCATATTTTTAAAGGATTACTTTTTATGTGCATGTTAGTGCAAGTACTCATGGGGGCCATTGGATCTTCTGGAGCTGGAGTTTTAGTTGGTTGTGCCTGACTTGGGTGTTCAGAACCAAACTCAGGTCCTCTGTAAAGGCAACAATCAGACTACAACTTGATTTTTAACACCCTTATCCCTTAATCCAGGATTGTTTTCACCAGCCCCCAAAAATCTTCAGCTGTCACTGAACATATCTTTTCCTGCTTCTCTGGCTTTGCGACTTCTGTGCCCTCTTGTGGCATGCCTTTCTCACAGTCTCCACTCATCCTCCAAGGCCCATTTCAAGGGTACCTACTGACCCAGGCAGCTTTCAACTGTTAATTGCATGATATTTAATTCAGTTTAGGTCAGAAGTGAATGTCATTCATCTGGTGTCTCTGGCACTGCATGCACTAACTGGCATATGACTCAATAAACATTTGTTGCTGAGTGTGGAGGTGCACATCTGTAATCTCAGCACTTGGGAGGTAAAAGCAGGAAGATCAGGAGAATTCAAGACCAGATGGGCTAATGTTACATAATATTTTTTTCTGAATTGAAACATTCCTTCCTCCTTAAGGAAAGAGAGACGCTCATAAGACTCAGAAAGGAGAGGAAACGTGCCAAGTCCCTCTCCAAGGTCATATAAGCAGTGACAATGCTGCAGGAGAGGAGACTCTCCTGCTGGTGGAGTTGCTGCAAGTTGGGCAGAGAGTTCCAGAAATCAAGCCTCTGTAAGGCATCACCCATGCTAGAAAAGTCTTCTCAGTGATGCAGCTGCTTTTGAGAGGCCCATGCTCCTGAAAGCAACCCCTCACTTAGGCTCCTATAAATAACCCAAATAAGCTAGACTTGAGTATAAATGTTTCTTTGGTCTGACATTGATGCCTGATCTGGGTTGATTCATGTTTGTTCAAGAATTTCCAGGAAAAATTGCTGGACAGCTATAGCAGCCGCATGAAACCCTGTCTTA